AACCCTAAACCCTAAACCCCGGCCCTCCGCCAAGCTTACGAGTCTTCAGGGGAACCCTCTGCCACTCTGTGACACTTCTGCGCACCGGAGGGGCACTTCGAACTAAAGCCAGGTGCCTTTCCCCTACGCCTGACTCTTAAGGATTGGGTTTAGGGTTTAGGGTTTAGGGTTTAGGGTTTAGGGTTTAGGGTTTGAGGCTATTGGGTTCCAACTTCTGGGCTCCTACAGTAAGCCTTACGACCTTAAACCCAAAACCCCTAAACTAAACCCTAAACCCTAAGCCCGAAACCCTAAACCCTAACCCCAAATGAACCCGAGGCTCTAAGCCATAAGCCTCAAAAGCTGAGTGCAAGCCGAATCAGAACCCATGCCAGGGGAGGAGCTGTTGATCTGCTACGGCCACTTCTCAAACGCGGAGCTGTGCCTCACCTGAAGGGCTTGTGAGTTTTCAGATCGGGCCTTCGTGCGCTTCTCTGTTACGGTTTAGGGCTTGGGGTTTAGAGTTTAGGGTTTAGGGTTTAGAGGTTAGGGTTTAGGGCTCAGAGTTTAGGGTTTAGGGTTTAGGGTCTTTATCGTGGTTTCCGTAGGGATCTTTACAAGGTGTTTCAACTTTGGTTATGAAGATTTTGGGGGGGTTTTGGGTTGAGGTGTCGGGCTGAATCATCAACGTCTTGGGCCTAGGTTTCCGGCTCGTACCCCACCCCTTAAGCCCCATGGTTCTCGAGCCTCTGCGCGAAAGAGGCAGCCCAGCCCCTGATTCCCTGTAGACTCTGATCATGCCCTGCAAGACCCCTGTGTATCCGGAAGAAGCCCACGATACCGCCTAAACTCCTAAACTCCCGAAAACCCTAACCCTAAACCCTAAACCCTAAACCTTAAGCCCTGAACCCTCAAACCTAAACTCTGAACTCCTAAACCCTAAACCCTAAACTCCTAAACCCCGAAGCCCTAAACCCTGTTTGGCTCCTCCTTTTGGGTGAGCCTCCAAGGTTGTACAATGCCGGCTTTACGGCGTGGCCAAACGATTTCGACGGCTTGGTCGTGGCGCCTCGGCGACGGACACAGGGTTTCGGGCGGAGCCTATCGGCTCCAGAAGCCGGGTTTTTGTGAATTCTGAGGGTTTGGGCTTCAGCTTTTTTGATGTTTTGGTCGCGGGCTTTTAGGGTTTGTGTGAGACCCACCCCTAAACTCTAAACATGGCAATGCCCGAATCCCCCCAGCATGAAAAGACAGGCGCAATATATAGGGGCCGAAAGAACTACCAGTACCATTTCCGGGGCTTCCTGATTTTAGTCATAGTATAAGATGCCCCAAAACCCTACTCTAATTGTATATTAAGGCCCCTAAACCCTAAACCCTAAACCCTAAACCCCAAAACCCTGAACCCCTAAACCCTAAACCCTAAACCCTGAACCCAAACCCTAAACCCTAAACCCTAAACCCTAGAGCAATAAACCCCTAAACCCCAAACCCTAAACCCTAAACCCCTAAACCCCCTAAACCCCTAAACCCCCTAAGCCCCTAAACCCCTAAACCCCAAAACCCTCTAAACCCCTATATTAACAAGGCTGAAGCCCTGGACCCTGAAACCCTATTCTCTTATGGTAGCCATCATAGATCCCTTTAAAGGGACCCCTAAACCCATAAACCCCTAAACCCCTAAACCCTAAACCCTAAACCCTAGAATTCTACAGGGACCCCTAAACCCTAAACCCCTAAACCCCTAAACCCCTAAACCCC